AGCAGCCATCGCTTTGACTAGCAGACGTAAAGCAGACGACGTTAACTACGCCAACCCGCCGACGCCGTTAAAGAATGAGGGGTCTCGCCGCACACGAAAGGAGGGAAAAAGTATTTGGGAGGGAACTTGCGTACACTAACACGCTCACTCTCGGTTCTTCAAACAAACCTCGGCGCCTCGGGACACCTCGCCAGTGAGTCCTTTGACTTCCCTCCTTGATGCACGTCTGCTAGTTGTTAGACAAAAACAACGTACCGCTCGAGTTATTTCGTCTGCCCTCTCTGAAAGGTGAAGTCGAGCTCGCTCGTAATTTCCGAAAGTCGCAGGAAAGGTAAGACAGACGCAGACGACGTTGCGAGCAGACGACGTTACAAAGGAGCAGACGACACTCAGATAGGGGGGTCGCGATCAGCCAATCAGGGCTCGGCGTTCTGACGTCACCGCTACTTCCTTTCTCATGCGCAGAAGACGAAAATGAGCCCACTTGCGAGGCGTATTAGATCTAATAACGGTGGTTGACATGGGACCCGCTTACAATGCCGCATGGACTACATTTAGGCATATGTCTAACAGAGTGAACGCCAATCAGTTTTTGGGCCTTTTGGGATCCGCGTTATGGGGAACAAATTTTGGAGGGGCCGGCTGGGTGTCGAAATCCGGCTTGGCTACGGTACTTACAATTCCTTCTTCAGGAAGAAGCGGTCTTTTTCTGGGAGGGCGAGGGCAGGGGTTACGACATTTTCAGTAACTTGTTGCATTCAAAAATATCAGCTCCCTTCCGTACCGCTCCTCGTGACCTCTGATGGCGCGAGTAATTCTTCGAACATAGGGGCAGCAATGAGCATAAATGGGCCCACCTCGGTCACATGGACATTGGCCGCATCCTGCATGTCTTTTCGTTGGGCTGCAACTTGCCTCAATGCGTCACGTCGTTCGCCTTCGGGTAGTTCGTGGGATTACCTTGCTCTTTCTGCCCCATGCGCGGTAATCCCGCATATGAAAAGAGCGCTCTCCTGTATGTGCTTTTCTGCCCACAGATGCTTCCTGTTCTTTTTACTCAAAATAAACTTGTGGCCATGGCACTGTGGGGCTCTGTCGCCTGGTCCTTCTACGGCATGGTGCACGAAATACGTTATTATGTTCGTAGCACACCTTTGTTGTAGACTCAAATTTGATGGCCGAACCTCTGCGTACTTAAATGAGTCTCCTGGAAGCCTCACAATGTGGCCGACGTTCCGCTAAGAGACCTCTTCTTCAGACTTACGATTAAATTGCTATTAAATGCAAAGGTGCAAGCGAGCTGGACAAGAATGACGAAAATAATCCCTAAAGAAGGGGAACAAGAGGGACAAAGGACAAGGCCTTTGCGTGGTGGGAACTGTGATGCCTGAAACGCGTCTTCTACTGGCGCGTTTACTGTCCTATAGTTCCCATGTATCAAGTTGCTCGCGATGCGGAAACCCGACCACGTCACGTTTGTCATGCTGTCGGAAAGCCCGATCCTGGCGGTTGGTTAAAAAGTATCGGCAAAACATACTAACAGATGCAAGTGACGCTATCATCGAGATGTCACAATGGACCGATCCCACGACGGCCGCGGTGCATCCTGGAAGTTGTAGTCCTTTGTGGGTGCACCACGCCAGCACACGCCACACAAAGATGGCCGACCAATGTAGCGCTATACACGTTTGCAAGTCGGGTCTCAGGGCGCCGCCATCTTCCTCAGTGGGGTGCGCTCTCGGGAGCGGCCATAATCCGATTACGACGCCTTAGCAAGGCTTCGTAATCGGATTATGACTGGTCCAAGCGCACCCCAGACAGGCAAGATGGCAGCGCCCTGAAGCCGGACTTGCAAACGTGTATAGAGCAGAGTAGCGCAATCTAGAACGCCGTCTCTCGGCGACTAGTGGCGAACGCCCGGAGGTTCCAACTGCGGTCAGAAATGCATGGAGAACGTGAGAAAATCGTTGTTTCTTCAGTTTTGTGGGGATGTGCGGAATGGAAATCATTTTTGACATAATAATTAAACATTTTAGAATAATATGCGATAAGTTTTGTGCCATACAATGACGTAACTTTTTTTAAAAAATTGCCTGAGCGGCATCATGCAGCAGACGACACGGCGACGTCACAACATTCACGTGACCCGCTCCGGCCAACCCGAAAAGCCTGTCTCCGCTGCGAGCAAAAATCGTCTGCTTCAAACGCCATTGCCTTGGAAATTGCCTTCTCAAAATTTGCACACGCATCCGATATTATTAAAACTTTGATAAAATGTTTAGCGCTTTACTATCTTCACGACAGGCTAGTTTTGAAAAATGTGAACTCGCCGTTAGTTTTTTTAATCAGCCGTGTTATGTCGATCTCCATGTATTCTCCCATAGGGCGGGCCGCCTCCTGGAACCCTGAGTACCACGTGACTCGCGCCGAGCCGCTCTGTCGGCCATGTTGTCGGCAAAACACGGGGTTCAAAGGATTGCGCTACTCTGCTCCGTAGGAGCTATATAGTGCTCTAGCTGCGGCGGCTGCGGTGACTGTTCTATATGGCTATTTTTGGGCTACTTCTAAGGATGCGGCGAACTTTTGTCGAAACCTCAGTTTCGACGTGGAACTTTGAGGTTTGACTAGTTAATTTTTGAACTTCTTATCAGCTTCGAAAAAAATTGTATCTCTTTTGGCCATTCGATAGAAGAGAGAGGAAAGAGAACGGCTTTTAACTTCTACAAACTTCGTCGTTTTGACAATGCGCACAGAAGCAATGCTTGCACAGTTCAAGCGGTCTCCACAGTGCGCGGTGAAGCAAACCAAACAGTGGTAGGGCGTCCTCTACCCGGACCTAGACTAAACTCTGCAAAGTTCAAGCGTGCTTTGGTGCCCATTGAGAGAATCCTTAGGCACCCAAGTTCGTAAATATAAAGTCCGCAGTTTCACCGCTGAACAATTGACTACCTTCCAGTCTCCGCCCACCCCAAGAAAGGACAACACAATCAGAAATAGCGTGAACCGAAATGGGGAACACTCATATTCTACACAAAGAAAAAGAGACGGGTAGGATATTGGTAAGGACCTTAGATATTGTGATCCCTGTTTGAAACACCAAGTGTTACCGTTCTGCTTCTGTATTCTGTTCGTTTACTGTAATGATCATATCCCGGGCTTCACGATAAAACTGTCTTTGTGTGTTTTGTACTTCTGAAGACCTGCGAAGGAGGTGACAGTTTTGTTTTCTTCCTTCCGAAGTGTTTTTTTTTTTTTAAGCCATTTCCGTCCGAAGCGCACCCCGGAAGTGCGCTTCGGACGGAAATGGCTATACGCACTCCGCTTTTCTCGTATAAAAAGAGTGGACACAACAAGTTTCCTAAGCGGTGCCATGGCGTAGGGGTTAGGATGTCCGTTTCATACGCAAGTGGACGCGGGTTCGAACCACGGTGGGCCAACTTTTTTTTTTTTTCTCAAACATTTTGTTTTGTCGAGGCATTTGGCGATATTTACGACATTTCCTATTTTGCGATGAACAGTAAAAAAAAAAAAAAAAATCGAATGTTGTCGAGAAACTTTGCAGAACTAAATGGTAGCGGACTCCCTTTCCGGAGGTGCGATCGGGGACAGCGGGGCTTGGATTGCCGGCTACGGTGCACTGGTTACGTTTTGTAATTAGCAGCCGATACTGTCGCCGCGAAGCGGCGTGAACGCAGGCGGGGGGCTGTGTTAACGAGCGCCCCAGTGATTCACGCGCCGTTCGAAAAGGGTGGCCCGAGCGGCATGATCTCTCGGAGGGGCGCACTCCGGAGTGCGTATAGCTTTACTCTTTTTTTAATTTGCAAGTGACATAATGTGCACAAAATGTGGCGCATCTGGGGCTTGAAAAAGATAATTTAACGTGTCTTGTATGTGTGTGAAAAATTGTCAAAAAAGGCTTAAAAACCATTGTTTTTAGTTTTGGCTATATTTGGGCTATACCACCCAGGCGTTTGGCGGTTTTTTGTTGAGACCATCTGGCAACAACTTGCGTCTGCACCACAGTGGTCTGCGCCTCTGTTCTGTTGTGGCTCGTATTTCGCCGTGTTAAAGACTGCATTTGGTGCGCTACTTCCTGATAATGAACAAGTGGCGTAAGTACCGGAAGCTCAAGAAGGACCATGAGCAGCTCATGGCGGATCTTCAAGCTGCAAGCTGCAAGAAGCCGAGAACGGAAAGCGGTTTGACGGGCAATGCCGTTTCCAGCGATGTTGCGCGCTCTGATAAACCTGCAGCCGGAGGCGTTTTCCAGTCGAGTGAAGCTGGCTGTTCGGGTGACTTGGAAGTCCAGGTGCAGTCGGCGAGCTTTGAAGTCTCGAGATCTGACGTGCTGGCGAGTTCTTCAGAAAATGATTCGTCGGAAGACGATTCGTCGGAAGACGATACGAGCGATGAGTACCAGTCAGAGGAAAGCGCTGACCATAACTCGGAGCCACCAAACGGCAGCGCGAATCCGAACGCTGTCACTACGTCGTCATCCCAGCCGCATGAACTCTCGGCATGCGACGAGCTCGCAAGTATTGCTGGGAAGCACAACATGAGCCACGTATGTCTGAACGATGTTCTTGCCTTTTGTCGGCGTCGAGGCATTGCCGGACTACCCAAAGACGCGCGGACTGTGTTGTGCACAGAACGGAAGTCCCGACTAGAGCAATGTGACAAGTTTGTGCATTTCGGCTTAGAAGAAGGCATCCGTCAGTCATTGCAAGGCTGCCCCATTCCTAAGGAGATTAAGCTCCAAGGGAACATTGACGGTCTGCCCCTGTTCAAAAGCTCACAGGTGAGCTTCTGGCCCTTATTATGCCGGATAACGAATTTGACCCCTCTGCCGTCACCTTTTATGGTCAGTTTATACTGCGGCACAGGAAAGACCCCCAAATCTGGAGCAGTACCTGTATGCATTCCTTGAAGAAGCCCGCAAGCTCACAGTGCATGGCATGGTCTTCAAGGGGAGCCACATCACTGTCAGCATCACGGCCATGGTGTGCGACGCACCCGCAAGAAGCTTTATCAAGCAAATAGTTGGGCACACTGGCTATCACGCCTGCGAACGGTGCAGTCAGAGGGGCCTGCATCTCGAGGGTCGAATGACATTTCCTGATTTGCACTCACCACAACGCACCAACGAGTCGTTCCGGTCTCAGGAAGACGAGCACCATCACACGGGAACGTCGCCATTTGAATCTTTAGATGTCGACATGGTGTCATGGTTTCCTACGGAGTACATGCATCTCGTCTGTCTTGGCGTTATGCGGCGCCTTCTGAGAAACTGGGTTAGCCAAGGGTTCGGGAGACGCCTAAGTCGACAGCAGCGTGAAAATTTGAATGATTTACTTCGAAGTTGCAGTAAGCGTTTCCCCAGCAACTTTCAAAGGAAGCCAAGAGGCACTGAGGAACTTGACCGGTGGAAGGCCACAGAGTTTCGAAGCTTCCTCTTGTATGTGGGACCTGTGGTTTTGAAGCATGTGTTGCCAAACGATCAGTACCGTCACTTTTTAATGCTGCATGTGGCAGTGAGAATTCTTGTATCTCCTGCACATTACGAGGTTTATAACGGATTTGCCACGGACCTTCTTAGGTACTTTGTGCAGGAGTTTGGCACCTTGTATGGGGCCAAGCAGCTCGTTTACAACGTGCACACGCTCAGCCATCTGGCTGAGCAGTGTTTGGACCATGGCCCTCTTGACAGTTTTAGTGCGTTTCCTTTTGAAAGTTTCCTGGGTAAGGTTAAGAAAATGCTACGTTCAACAAGCAAGCCTTTAGCGCAGATCAGCAGACGAATGTCTGAAGTCAGACATTTGTATCAACCTGAGATTTCGGAACCGAAACGCATTGTCAAAGCAGGTCAGTGCTTCATGCTGAACGAGTCTGCAGTTGTCGTCTTGAAGCTCCTTGAAGACAGGTTCAAGGCAAGCATTCTGCCAAACATGACAGATTTTTTTGAACTGCCGATCAAGTCGTCCGCCATCGGCATCTGGCAGTGCGATTCCCTCACGCACGTGACTAAAATGTACAACCTTTCCGAACTTGACACTGCTGTTCAATACCTCAGACTGGACTACAAAAGCAGACATGTCATCCTTCCACTTCTACATCTGCTGTAGGCCTTTAACATAGCTTTTGTAGCTTCTTTGAGGCCCTCGTATGATTTCCAACCTCTGCAGGCTGCATTCTGAAAGGCCTCTGGCAATTGAACTGTGCGCTAGTGTCAGCAGTTAAGCTTACAGTTATGTTTTGTGGGCAACAAAATTGCCGGATGTTGATCAGGACTCTTTTGAGCTGACTGAGAGCGTTCCCAAATGCTGTGTGGAAGGCCTCAAGCAGATGAGCTGTGCATTGCTGCTGGCATTCGAGCTGACAGTGCGGTGTTGTGTGCAACAATGCTGCCAGGCGTCCGTCAGAGCTCTTCTGAACTGTGCAAGGAATCTTCCAAGTGCAGCATGCAAGGTGCCAACCCTTCAAACTGTGCGTTTCTGCGAGCATTTGAACTGACAGTGGAGTGTTGTGTGCAGCAGTGCTACCAATCGTCACTCAAGGTCCTTTCAAGCTGTTCATGAAGCCTGCCAAGCCCATTGTACAGGGCATCAAGCAGGCGACCTGCGAGTGGTTGCCAGTGTTTGAGCTGGCGGTGAAGTGTCATGTGCAGCGGCACTGTCAGGCATCAGTCGACTCTTGGAGCATCTCCAGGTGTATTTTGTGCCCTGTGTGAACTTCTATACTCCGTCTCGCCCTAAGCTGGACTAAGCGGTGAAGCTACAGGCCAAGGGGGCCAATCACAAGCCCGTTGGATGGTGCTAATCCTGCATGTGCTGTTAGGCTAGTTTGTTCCTTAGTTTAAGTTCAACTTAAGTCTTGTACTGTGGCTTGGAATTCGATTAGATTTGACATGACACATAGAAAAAGGCACAAAAGCGACCTATTCATATTATTTATGATGAGTACTTTGGAAGCCTATGTACTTACGAGTATAAATACATCCTTAAAATACTTTCCCTGCAGAACCTATAAAAAAGAATTGCTTACAATGCATTATTTTTATGTAGAACCATTCATGGCCTTCTGGATGGTGATTTTGCATAATTTCTTAATTTTCATGCATTGCCTTCTGATTTTAGGGGCCGTTATGTGTTTTACTTTCTACTCATGTGAAATTGTCTCCGGTTGTTCAAATGCAAATTTGTGTTAACAGATTATCCCCTGCTACTGATGTGCTTTCTGATCTCGTTATATTCATGCAAAGTGGTGCGCTATGCTAGTTCGTACAAGTGAAGCATGATTAAACAGGTGTGACGGACAAGGGCAAGGCATGTTTGTGTTCTGTCCTTCGTCATTGTCCGTCACGCCTGTTTGATCACGTTTCATTGTATTCAAACGTGGAATGGACCTGGATCTTTTCATTACTTTATTAATCCTTAAGGGCCCTCTGTTGAGGGCATGGCTGACCAACAGCGTTATGTTGGTCAGCCATCTTAATACATGTCTCATGCTGTAGATGGGCAATTTGGCCAGTGCGGTACAATTGCGATCCTGGGGTCTTTAACGTGCATCACCAGTATGTGATTACACGAGCGCAGCCGGTACGATGCTCAGGTGTGGACATACTCTGTGCAAGTGGACAGGTAGTTTTGATTGTGTTTTTCAATTTTTTCTTTGTGCCTCTACACCAAGACCTAATGGTTGTGTGGGGCATTAGATAATAAAACTAAAATAATAATAATGAGAGAACATGCGTGGAGGAGAAAGATGAGCTTCATGGCACCTATATATCGTCTCTGGCCTACCACAGGGTCCGTCGTCTCTGGCCATGGATCATGGTGGCCGAGGCTTGCATGTGTTATCTCAAGGTGAATACCTTCCCATCAAGTGAAAGAATGTACCCTTCTGGGTATTTCCGCTTCTCTTTTCTGTGTGCCGCATCCTCACCCAACATCACCTCGCCCCTGAGGTGGCAGTAAACTTCCAACAACCGCAGAAAAGGCAAAGAAGCTGTAATAAAAGACCTGCTGGAGAGCGGACATTGTTTGCCCTATCCTCCCAGGAGCTCGGCCTGACGTCACACGACTGTCTGCTCTGCATAACTAGCAGACAAGCTCACTTCCCGCATATGCTCTTCGAAACTAGCCTTTATTTGGGACAACAGTAGCTTACGTCCAGAGATCTCATGAGAAAATGTGTCGGAGTGTACTGCAGGTGGGTGACTGGTGGATAGATATCTCGGGGATGGATATCACAATCGTTTAGCATTGGAAAAATGTGGACCTTACATGGATCTCTAACAAGTATGAATTCTTTCACATTCTTTGAACTTCTGTGTAAAATGGTTATATAGCCTAAAACTGCATTTATATAAAGCATGTGGAGTTTTGTATAGCCACTTGCACAGTTCCACGGAGCAGACAGACTCGCTATGTAATAAGCCCCTCCGGTGCAACTGGTCATGCTATTTTGTGAGACCTGTTACCGTAAAGTAACCCTGCCAGCGCTTCTGTGCAGCAAAACTCCTTCTGAAGACTGAACTTTGATAGTGCTGCCTCAGAGCTTTTATTTTTCTCTCTCTCTCTCTTCTGAGCCACACTCACTTGGTTAAACTGAAATTGCGACAGAACTCAGCCTGGTATATTGAGGCCAAAATGCATAATGCCTATACGTGCAGCAAGTGGGCCCATTTTGGTCTGCTGCAGTTGAGCGAGGAAATGTGGAGGCGAGACAGGAGCTTCATAGTGTCTTCGGGTTCCGCGTCTCTCGGCGAAACTCATGGCGGCCGAGACTTGTGCATGTCCTCTCACAGTTAACTGCTTCACGTCAGGGTAAATAACCTACTTTTCGATGTATTTCTGCTCTTTTTGATACACTTTGTCCTCATCCCTAAAACGGCAGTAAATTGCCGACAGGCGCCGAAAAGGGCTGGCCATTGCTACGACCTGCCACAGATCAGACGACAGAAAATCAAGCATACCACATTGGCGTGACGCCACGGCGGCTGTCGTTTGCTGTGCGCGGCTAGCAGACAAGCTTGCTCGCCGCGTAAGCAAGGAGTTGTGGACAACGCAATAGTAGTTTCGTTAGATTGAAAATTTTATAGCATTGAACTTGCTATGTCCACGTTTGACTGTATTCTCATACTCTAGACTTCGTCAGGCAACAGGAGCTAGGCTGATTTTCTTCAGTAGCTTGTACTGTCATGTAAAGAGACTGTCCGAGCAACAAAAACAATTGTGGCACAGATTAGCAAGCAAAGGACAGCCCGCTAGGGACGATGTTCCCATGGTCGTGTTTAGCACGTGTGCCAGCTGCTTTTGTCGAATCAGATCAAAAGGAAGCGGCAAGTATACGTGGCAGTCGCGACAGCACCCCGAGGATTAGGCCCAAGCAGATGACACGCTGTGGCGCCACCTACAATGCTGTGCGCTCCGAATTTCGGCAGGTGCCGAAAATTGACGCTGCGTGAAGTGCGAATTAAGGGCGTACCACGCGTACCACTTGTACGAACCATGCACAGAATTAATTTTTTGAATGGTTGTCGTTAACCTTTTTAATGGTCCTATCCCACCAGTGGTTGAACTGTGTCCACGAAGGAGTTGCGATTATCGGTAATACCAGAGTTTTGGACAGTTTAGTCTGGCAACGGTTGTGTCACGTTCCAGTACCCACTTTAGTCAACAATCCAAATCGATATGACCCGAAATTGAGACAATATTGGCAGAATAATGGCTAAAATTGGATATAACGGCCCAATTTAGCCGATATGACCCGATATTGAGCCAATATTGGCATAATAATGGTTAAAATCGGTAATAATGGCCCGATTTAGCCGATATTGAGCCAATATTGGAAGAATAGTGGTGAAAATCGGCAATAACGGCCGATTTAGCCAATATGACCCGATATTGAGCCAATATTGGCAGAATAATGGTTAACAGTGGCAATAACGGCCCGATTTAGCCGATATAACCCGATATTGAGCCAATATTGGAAGAACAATGGTGAAAATTGGCAATAACGGCCCGATTTAGCCGATATGACCCGATATTGAGCCAATATTGGCAGAATAATGGTTAAAATGGGCAATAACGGCCCGATTTAGCCGATATAACCCGATTTTGAGCCAATATTGGCAGAATAATGGTTAAAATTGGCAATAACGGCCGAGCTAACCAAGTTTCACCCAACATTTGCCAATATTGGCCATAAAATGGCAAACCTGGTCCAACATTGGACCAAGCATGCCTGGCTTGGCCCAATATTGGCCCAGTGTGGTGTGCTACCTGGGTGTACTGTCGCGAAGTGCAAGGCGCAGTGCCCATCTGGCAAGGTGGCGTCCCCGAAGCAAAGACCTCGCAACGTGAAAGTTACGAGCACGGGGACCGTCAAGCATGGCAAGTTCACACAGAACGCCATTCGCCTGAAGGTGCATCGCAAGTGCTCCGAGAGGGAGATTCCTAGCCTTGACAGCTATTTCAAAATAAACTGTACAGGCCACAACTATTGTTGTTTAACGTTTTATTATAAATTTTGGGACAAGGCCGCTATCAGGGCGATTCCTCATTCCACGCTGCACGAAAGAAAATATAACTCGGTGCTGGAGGCAAATAACACTTGCAAAGCGGCAGACCAGATGGTAGAAATCTGGCCTCTCGGCGACTTATGAATAAAAATCAAGAAGGAGGAACTGAAATATGCACTTCGTCAATGCGCACAATCTTGCACGAAAAGTATGTCTGAAAAAGAAAAAAAAAAAAAAAAAAACTTTGCGCGTAAAATGGGTTCAAACGACGGCCACCGAGACGTCAATATCGCCAGAGCAGCGCCTTCTACCACTCGTCCACGAAACGCGCGGAGTAACTTGTTCTATTTTTTCATGCGCACCACTTTAGTACCTTTTACAGCGTTGCACGCTAAGTATGAAACAGAGTATAATACACCCTATTGTCTGGTACAGAGACCATTTATGAACACTTGGGTTTTTAAACGATGTACTACACATTCTACAAAAAGAAAAAAAAACATTGGGTGTTTAAACGTTGTACTACCCCTTTTTCAATAGAAAAAAGCAACAATAAAAAAAAACACATTTCAGAAGAAAAAGTTAAGGAAACGGAATGTACCATTATGTTCAGTGAAGTTTGGTGACAAGACTCGGGACTCGAGCAGGAATGCAGTTATCCTTGGTGTGACCCCATGAGACTGTCTTGCTGCCTTTGCTGGGGTTTATCTAACTGAAGTACCTGTGCGAAAAGTAGAACACATGTGCATAACACTCATTATTCACAAGAAAATTTGTCAATGTGCAAAATGACCCATGAAGAAAATTATGCGAGGAATTTTCAGGCTGCGTTGGCCGAGTCACCTCTCGTGGCCAATGTTTCATAGCAACTTTAATTGTAGTGAACAGTTATAGGGTATATTACGAACAAAGTGCAATTTGGTTTTGTAGGAAACTATAACACACAAAACGACACTTGAATAAAGTATGTTGAGGTACCTCTAAACAAACTCCAGGGTTTCATGGCGCCTCCTTCAGATACCTGATGTTGAACATGAAATATATGCACCAAGGAGTGAGCAAACAGCGACTTCAGATTTGTCTCTAACACCAGCGACATGTCGACAAGGAGTGCAACCTGTAGAAGGTCGTCTAGAAGTGTGCCAAGATGAAAAAGCAAGATGTAATGATATCAGAATAAGATCCCACCAACGAGGCACCATTGTGGTGAGACAATCTACGATGTAGAGACAGTAATCGGGAGTCAACCGACGTACGGCCGCGATTTACTTTGCGGCGACTGAAATAAAACATGGCAAAAAAAAATATTTTTTGTTGTAAATTAAAAAACGCGTTTTTTTTGTTGTTTTTTTTGTTTTTTTTTTATTTTATTATTTGAGCGCAGCCGGTAGCAGAGCAGTTGGGCGGCGTCACGAAAATCTGACAGACTCGCTAGCTTTTCTCAACTTCGTACGGCGCCAGTCGGCACCACAGGTGAATGGTAGGCACTCTTAGTCTACCAGGGAAGAAAAAAGTACGAGCTCAGAGCCCAGCGTCGATCGCGACTTTCGTAAAGAGAAGCTCCGGTAACACTTCGGCGACTCGCGAGCGTTAAGCAACGCCTCTTCGAACGAGCCCACGAATCCAACACGTCGAACGGTTTGCGCCGGTAAGCACGCTGGGAACCAGGGGGCTGGAGGTTGAATATCCGAAAGAGACGAGGCGCTGGTTTCTACGTCTATTTCGCACATGAGATAACAAGCCGAGTGATAGCTAGCCGAGTGTAAACACTGACTGAAGTTACATCAGAGTACACGGAGTCGAAATGACGTCTGCAACAGAGCACAGCCAGACGCTTTCAGCAGGGGACGCATGCGTTGAAATAAGCTGCGATTTCATAACATCATGTATCCCTTCTGTCCTTCAGTGTTCACTTTGATCTGTGTATACCAAAGCACTCAATGCTGCAAGTAATAAAGTCGTCTATACGTACCTTTCGAAGCGATTGAAAGTGCGTTGGTTTCACTTGGAATCCACAAGCAAAGTGCGCGACGAACTTGACGAGCCGTTATCTGTCGGTCCCGCCATCGCCGCTGCCTCGCTGTCTTGCCGGGTTGGCGCGGTCGCGGTGGCTGCGCAATCATAGAGTAATCTACACAAGGTAAAGAGCGGACACTCCCATAGGCCCCAGCGGCCCATTTAGCTGGCAGGGAGCGCACCCAGCGGCCGTCGTAGTCCCCAACTGAATGAATAGAGTCACAATAAAAATACTTACCGGATGGATAGATATATAGTTTGGCGTAGTGTATTGGGCGGTAGCCTGCGCCATCTGGTTTGCCGCGAGTTATGTTTTTCCTACTATTCCCGCATGGTAAATTTTAGCTGTAATTACTTCACACGTATGTACGATTCCTAATGCGGACAACTAATGGACAACACTATATACAGTTAACACTGACTTTACAAGCCAGGAAACCCATGTAGGTTTGTGCTGTCCAGAAGAACACCACCAGGGAGTAATCAACACAGTTTATTTTCGCAACAAAAATATGGTGGGCAGTTTGTGCCTCGTATATAATTACCAAAACTACAAAACATAAGCACCGTGCATCAAGGATTCACAAACAATACATCCTACAAAAAAATGACAAGCATATTATGGCATGCATGAAAATCTTATCAAACAACTGGAATTACAATGTTACAACTGCAATTGGATTGCAAGCCTGTTTTGTGTTCTCAAGCATGTTCCATGGAAGGTGCACCACACACATAACATATGCAGCATCAGCAACACATACTAAAAAAAAAACTGGCCATGCAGTATCAAAGCTCGTTGATCCAATGCAATTTGTATGCAAATAAAACGCTCAGCAGAAGAAATCTGAAATGCACGATGACCACAATGAGAAAAACAGACAAGTAAATGCCTAAACAAGATTGCCACTAGTATAGACCTTCTTAGTCTGTGACGTAGTCATTAAATAACCCTAACACAGCCTGAACTACAGAATTAAAAATACCTTGCTCCTGCTGATTTAAGTAACAATAATGACCAAAATAACAAGAACTGAAAGCCAACCGACGGTCTAATACAGGTTTTACGTTAATGTCACGTTTAACATGTCACATTTAAGATGTAAGGTTTACCATGACCACTACCATAACAAGCGCACATGAAATGGCTGACAAAAGACTGCTAAATCAGACTGGTGCCCGGTGTACCTGCGACCCACTCATCACAAATGATTCCACCAAGGCTTGGCATGCAATCTGCACTGCCTAATTAGGTACATCTTACAAAGTGTCTACCCAATGACTTTTCCAAAGTCCATGATTTTTCCAGGTTTCCCTTGACTATTTTGATAAAATTTCCTGGCTGTTCCTTCCTTCGAAGGATGACATTTCGGGCAATGTTATTCAGCAGAACCGTGACGACATCTGATCGCCGGGCTTCGCTCCGCACCACCGTGCCACTTTTACTCGTCACTTTCCCTGATTTAGCCAACCTTTTGACAGTTTCCCTGATAATTCCCTGACTTTTCCAGGTGATCCAAAATTCCCTGAGCATTTCAGGCTTGCCAGGTTGGTGGACACCCCTGATCGCAATCTCCTTCACGCTCCACATATGTGTAAAGCAGAAACAGTGTCCAAAAGAAAAGAAAGTTGCATCCGAGATGAGTGACCTAAGAGAGTATTAACAAAGATCAATATGGGAACTTACACATTCCACATGACCACAATAGGAAAAAAACAGACATGACCATCTAAAAAAGCAGTCATTACAATAGACCAGTAGAGTGCAACCTACTGACTGCAAATAATCCCAACAAATGGCTAGTGTGCAGTCTGCACGGCCCAATAAAATTCCAATAAAATTAATTTTACTGTTGCAGATATCTTATGAGATGCAATATAAAGGCTGAAACATCATCTTCTACCCACTGAACTTTTCAAGCTGTACACCAGAGACGCGAGAATGGAAGCGAACTTTATCCAAGTTTCTATTTACAAAACGGACATGCCAGCACAATCGAATTCGGCAAAACATTTTTAAAAACCGTGCATGACACTCTGGAGTGCAAAAATTAAAATCACCAACACGCGAGAGAGTTATGTACAATGTTTCACAAACACTTCGGAGGTGCGCTACACTTTCGATAACAGAAAGAAAGATTGACTCGAGCTGCTGAACAAGTGTGAAAGCTGCGCTTGATGGCACAGTCAAGTTGCCGAAGAGCTTGCCTGGGACGTGGTACGCTTTCAGCATCATAAAAAACTGATGTGGCTCATCAAGGTTACTGTGCTCATCTCTAAGCAAGTCAGGACAACAACAACCTTCTGCAGCCTTCTCAGTAAACATTTTAACAATGAAGCCAGCAACATAATAAGTAGCAGAGTTGTCAATAACATGGGACTCCTCATGGGCTGCCAACTCAGTGATGTTTTCCAAAGATGGAAAGTCGTCCTGTGGGACATGCTGCACAACATCCACGAGTGACTCGCTACTAAGTGAAAATGGGGACAACTCCTGGAGGAGGTCCGTCTCATCCTCCTCGACATTTCCCTTCTGTGACAGTGTGAGGGGCTTCTGAATCCCAATGTGTTTCAGGCCAGATATGAACTGAGGCAGATTGGGATTCGAGTTGCGTCCCTGCTTTTGTCTTATGTGTCCAAACATCTGTTCAAGTGGGTCTTGTTGAAGTCGACGCGTGAGGAGAAACTCAAAGTCGTAATTCTGGGAAACATCTTCCCACAGCAGCAAGACGGCTTTGATCGTAATTTGCCACCCGATGATAGTGTGTGGCTGACGTTTGCCTTCGAACTTCCAAGACGCAATCCGTGGAAGCTGTTTTCCGAGAAATTCAACTAAATCCGGCTGCCCTTTTCGAATAGCATGGCGCAACTTTTGCTCCGTTTTCTTTGGACTGGAGCTATTCAAGCAATCAAACAGCTTGTCCATGCGGTCACAAAAATAAGCAGTTGACATGGCTGCTTCAGGCAGCTGTTTCGCATAGACAAGAGCTAAAAGCGCGACGCACACTCAAGCACTCAATACCTGGGTCGCCCGCTTAACCTTCATATTACTGAAAGGTTTCTGGTAGATATGTCTTTCAGTCAACTTTGGCGCCAACCGCAGTCGCATCTCATGTGTGGAGTGGTACAGTTTCACAATATCTGCCCAGTCTACAATCTCATTTTCGATATGAAGCCTGTGGGCCTGCAGGTTGTTCCGAGTTGTTTTCACTAAATGGGGAACGTCGTAAATGAAGTAAACGCGTTCACGTTTTACGAAAAAAAAAGGGCTGCGCCACAGTGACACCAAGCTGGTTTGCTAAGCTTACATTGGAAGCCCCTTGGTCACAAATTACAGCTTTAACTGTAATTCCAATGTCTTGCAACTGCTCAGTGAGCGAGATCAACAAGTTCCGGATTACGGTAGATGGCGTGGACGTGTGCCCAATTGTATAAGCGACTGGTTGAACCCATCTCTGGGAAACTCCGGAAAGAAGGATAACCAGGGCTCTGTCGGCAATCGTTGAGGTTCGTTCGTAGCCATCATCCGTAAATCCATGAACAACATCTTGTGACACGTCATATGACAAGTTTTTTTTTAACACTATCTCATCGAAGATGAGAGTGCAGACGCGATCGCGCTTACTCCATGATTGTGTTTTTGTAAAAATGGATGACATAATGCCTGGTATAATTCCAGGTGTCATTTTGACATCCGACAGCCATCTTCTTAGTGTGCGCTGAGTAGGAAGAGTGAGATAACGAGACAAAAAACGGTATGCCCGCGGCCCACGGAAGTTGAGATGAAGAGAAAACTTTTTCAACCATAACGGGAATCGTTTTCCCTTGCCCTTGGATTTCAATTTAACATGGCTTGACAGTAGGTGAAATACCTCGTCTGTCACGTGAGGGCGAATGATGTTGAGAGCTTCCGCAGCCGATCGAGGCATATTCTTCTCTTGCTTGCGCAGCCTTGCGATGGTCTTCCGGTACTTTGAAACCTTGGCCTGGAGACGCCTTATGATGTCCTTAGGTCTCGGCGCAGAACTGCGCAGAGGAGGCGTAGAAGTACCTGAAACGGGTAAAAAATAAAAATAACGAAATCAGAGCAGGTAAGCAGTTCTCCTTATAACCAGCATAGCCAACATTACCTTACAGTGACATAATCTGCAAGTAGATAATATGCCCCTAAACTACAGACAATTAGAAATCGTGGGAAACTGGGCTTTTGAAGCTATGTTTGCTAAATTTACATATTTCCACTGTATGCCTTGACAATACAGTACGTAAGGTATATTACAGGTTTTGCATGAAAAGCCCATCACCGGAAAAGTAGACAAACTAATACCCACCTTAACATGCATGAATTTTAGTTATATGAGTAGTAGCATATGGGCACAGGTGAACAAAAGAAATGGGACACTTACAAGCTCCAACTGGTTCAGAGGAGGACCATGTGGACGGTGTCCCCGGTCGGAAATCCAAGGGCGAGCTGCATGATGGGGCTGTAGCCTCCGTGGAGTCCGCGCCGCACGGTGAGGCTGTCGCTTCCATGGAGTCTGGAAAAATGTGTCTATTAGACCCAGGCTGTTGTTTCCAACACAAGTCCTTCCTCACCATGGGCAGCGGTTGAAGGTTCTTCGGGCCGGAAGCTGGAGGCTGTAGCCTCCATGGGGTCTGCGCCGCACGGTGGGGTTGTCGGTCCCATGGAGTCTGGAAATATTTGCCTATTAGACGCAGGCTGTTGTTTCCAACACAAGTCCTTCCTCACCATGGGCAGCGGTTGAGGGTTCTTCGGGCCGGAAGCTGCAGGCTGCACCGCATGATGGGGCTGGAGCCTCCATGGGGTATACGCTGCACGCTGGGGGTGTCACTTCCATGGAGTCTGGAAAAATTTGTCTATTAGACCCAGGCTGTTGTTTCCAACACAAGTCCTTCCTCACCATGGGCACCGGTTGAAGGTTCTTCGGGCCGGAAGCTGGAGGCTGTAGCCTCCATGGGGTCTGCGCCGCACGGTGGGGTTGTCGGTCCCATGGAGTCTGGAAATATTTGCCTGTTAGACGCAGGCTGTTGTTTCCAACACAAGTCCGTCCTCACCATGGGCAGCGGTTGAGGGTTCTTCGGGCCGGAAGCTGGAGGCTGCACCGCATGATGGGGCTGAAGCCTCCATGGGGTCTACGCTGCACGCTGGGGGTGTCACTTCCATGGAGTCTGGAAAAATTTGTCTATTAGACCCAGGCTGTTGTTTCCAACACAAGTCCTTCCTCACCATGGGCTGCGGTTGAAGGTTCTTCGGGCCGGAAGCTGGAGGCTGTAGCCTCCATGGGGTCTGCGCCGCACGGTGGGGTTGTCGGTCCCATGGAGTCTGGAAATATTTGCCTATTAGACGCAGGCTGTTGTTTCCAACACAAGTCCTTCCTCACCATGGGCAGCGGTTGAGGGTTCTTCGGGCCGGAAGCTGCAGGCTGCACCGCATGATGGGGCTGAAGCCTCCATGGGGTCTACGCTGCACGCTGGGGGTGTCACTTCCATGGAGTCTGGAAAAATTTGTCTATTAGACCCAGGCTGTTGTTTCCAACACAAGTCCTTCCTCACCATGGGCAGCGGTTGAAGGTTCTTCGGGCCGGAAGCTGGAGGCTGTAGCCTCCATGGGGTCTGCGCCGCACGGTGGGGTTGTCGGTCCCATGGAGTCTGGAAATATTTGCCTATTAGACGCAGGCTGTTGTTTCCAACACAAGTCCTTCCTCACCATGGGCAGCGGTTGAGGGTTCTTCGGGCCGGAAGCTGCAGGCTGCACCGCATGATGGGGCTGAAGCCTCCATGGGGTCTACGCTGCACGCTGGGGGTGTCACTTCCATGGAGTCTGGAAAAATTTGTCTATTAGACCCAGACTGTTGTTTCCAACACAAGTCCTTCCTCACCATGGGCAGCGGTTGAGGGTTCTTTGGGCCGGAAGCTGGAGGCTGCACCGCATGATGGGGCTGAAGCCTCTATGGGGTCTACGCCGCACGGTGGGGGTGTCGCTTCCATGGAGTCTGGAAAAATTTGTCTATTAGACCCAGGCTGTTGTTTCCAACACAAGCCCTTCCTCACCATGGGCAGCGGTTGAGGGTTCTTCGGGCCGGAAGCTGGAGGCTATAGCCTCCATGGGGTCTGCGCCGCACGGTGGGGTTGTCGCTTCCATAAAGTCTGGAAGAGTTTCGTCTATTAGAAGTTAGGTTGTGAAGCCGTAGAAGCAATATTGTGTTTAAATAAAGTTTTACACAAGTAATATACTTTTCGTATATGGATAGTTAAATAAATCTTTACCTTTAGCTCTCTCAGCATCTGAATATGTCGATGGGCGAACTGAAGGCACAGCGGTTTTCATTAGCTTTGTTCGCCCAGGGTCCATGAAGTCACGCGCTGTGAAGTGACTGCTGCAGACGAAATGCTTCGCATGCAGCTCACTGGACGATTTTCGCAGAAGGTCGTCTCTTTTGGCATACCTCAGCCATGCCTTTGACCTGGAAGATGTAGTGAACTTCATTATTCTTTATTTTTGTTAAAAATAAAATATTTGACCATAAAAGCCCGTTCACACTCTTGCAACCGAGTACGACCGAGAGAAACTTCTTAGGACCAGGCGCGCTGCTGCGGAGCTGGTCCTAAGAAGTCGTAAGAGGATTAAAAACCGGTCTTGTCTCTCTCGGTCGTACTCGGTTGCAAGAGTGTGAACGGCGCTTAATGGTTTAGATATTGTGGTTTCACATGGAGGTGATGAGCAATCTAATAGTGCTTCAGAAGGTTGTAGTTATTTATTGACTGCACACATACACAATTTTGCTGACTGGTTAAAAGGTGCGCAATGCTATAAAAAGAAGTGCAACTTTTTGGGAGTTTGGTAGTTTTGATACCAGTGCTGACAATGGGCATCAGCTAGTTTTAGTGCCTTGCTCATTTATAGAAACATTAAAAAACTTAATCTCAATAAAAAACAAATAAAAAAAAACGAGTTGTGCTTTCCTTGCATGTCATGTTAATTCAGCACGTAGCAACGAATTTGTAATGCAGTTTGCCTTGCAGAGCTGGGAAGCTAGTCCACCACAATCCGGTTATCATGGAACGGAATGTTTTAAAACTAAATTTAGTACTAACAGAAGTAAAGTTTTGATTAAGTAAGTTTTGATTAAACATTCAGCTTTCTCCCCGGTTTTCATTAGAACTATGCGTCCAGTACGTTGTTAAAACAAAGGACAACCTGTCGTCTCGTGGAACTCGGAAGAACTTTGTTCCTGGCTTCTTGCGCGTTCTCCCATTGTTTCCGCACCAGGCTACGCAACAGTAGCTGCCGTAGCCAAACATCCTGGCGGTATCAGCTGGGAAACGAAAATAGCACAAGTCAATTTGAGATTACGCGAATTTGGTGCCTTCATTTCATAGCAATTCGGGAACCAAAATTGTTAAAGCGACAACAAAGAGTGGTGATAAAGAAAAGCCTTCACGGTATTGTCACCTTCCATTTCTTTGTACTTTCCTCGTGAGCGCGCTTTGCTTAGGATGGCCTCGCCCTAAGCAAAGCGCGCATGAAGGCTACCTGTACCCCCTGCGGTACCTACCCTGCTTCATACATGGCGCCAGGTACAACGCTGTCATAGCTGCTGGCGCAAAAGCCACGCGCTCGCGTTACCAGCATTGACAGCGATGCACATGAGGTATGAAATTGAGTATGCCTTGAGTGCCTTAACTGGCGCTCTCGCTGCACGAGCGCACTCGTGCACGTGCAACTGCCGAGGCTTCATCCAGAGCAATTAGCTCGCGCTTTAGCCCGTGCATCCAACTATAGCCAAAAGCAAGCAAAATACGGTGTCTGTAAAACGACTCACCTTTCTAACAACGAAAGAATGTCGAGAAGCCCGCACGAGCCACTCAAGTGCAGCCCAACCGACCTTTCGAGCGACGTGACCGGAAAGCTACCGTCCGCCGAGCCGACAGCCCCAAAGCCATCCACTGAGCCGCAGCCAAAGCCGCAGCTGTCCAAATTGTTTTTAAAAGTATTTGGAACTGCTATTAATTTTGAAATGTTAGGTTATAGAGTGGAGTTATTTATCAAGGGTGAAAATATGATAAATGTCTAAATTAGGTGTGTGACTGCAGTGCCACTGAACGGTTGTCGTAGTCCCTAGCTCGTGGGCCGCGAATCGGCTCGAGTGTCCCCTCTTTTCGTTTACTGTGTTACTCTATGGCGCAATGGCGTAATCTCGGCGGCTCGCTAGGCTTGGCTGGATCGGCGGATTGGGCCACTTGGCGGCTCGCTCAGCCGCTTGTCTGGCTCGATGGGCTACTCGCGGCTCGCTCGGCTCGCCTCCCTTCGGAATTCGAACTGCCTCCGAAGCTCGAGCGCTCGAGCTTTCGCGCGCGCGGGTTGACGATGGAAACTTTTTTCATAAAACGAGTCTGTAACGTATCGTTTGATGGCGCAAATGCACGTATTTTTCCCGTCGTTTTTTACAGTGTGTGAATCTTGCGAAACAGGCGACGTAGAGTGGTGGGTGAAATGTGCTCGTGTGTGGTTGTGGATTTTGTGTACGACGTAGGATTACCCAGAAAGGTGGGTCAATATCGATAAATGTGCGGGTAAGAAGCACGTGACCTGTCGACCCCATTAATCCTCATTATTTCATCGTGCGAACTGACATTGTCACGTATCGCGTTCGATTTGGGTTCCAACATCGGTAACCTAACTTTTGTTGCAATAAAACTGCAATAAACATTTGTTTGAAAACGATCACTCCAATGAGCACGTCGTTATTGGGCTTTCTCATTGAAAGGTAGGTCGCGGGTGTCCCAGCTAGTTATTCTGAATGGTTTGGTGGTTGTCTAGCATATCAAGCGCTCGAGGCTGTGTGTACTTTGTGCCGTACGTACACTTGCGCTTTCGATCAATGTGAATGTGTTTGCAACGCGGAACGTGTGTGTTCTGTGTGTATCCACCTCCAATATCGGTCTCTCTCGTATTGCCGTATGGTAACTCCTGCTGTTCTACGATATCATTCACGCAATGTCGTATATGTGGGCGTACCGATATTCACATGTTGCTTCACGGGCGATCAATACTGTGTTACGTATCCTCTTAGCCCGCGGTATATGCCGACGTAATTCATGTTGGTAACTTGGAATTCGTTCTGAGATTTATCAACGCGATATTGTATTCTCCTTTGGGCCCGTGATCGACGACTGATATTTATATATCGTGTGGCCGCACAGTATGTCCATGTCGGTCACCAATATGCACGCGGTGGCGTATTCTATTCCAATAACGGTAAGTTCTGTCGGGATATTGTGCTTCGATATCGTGTTGTATACCAATAACCGCAAGTTATATCGGGATATTGTGCTCCAATATCATGTTGAATACCAATAACCACATACTATATCGGGATATTGTGCTCCGATATAAATTCCCATCGTGCGTATTGGGTTAATCGGATAACAATAAGTTTTTATTGGTTTCCATCAACTTCATTGGAATACAATATTTCCAATAAGCCGAGTTCATATTGGCCTTTTTCAATAGGGGGTACTTCAGTTAGATAAACCCCAGCAAAGGCAGCTCTCATGGGGTCACACCAAGAATAACTGCATTCCTGCTCGAGTCCCGAGTCTTGTCACCAAACTTCACTGAACATAATGGTACATTCCGTTTCCTTAACTTTTTCCTTTGAAATGTTTTTTTTTTGTTGCTTTTTTCTATTGAAAAAAGGGTAGTACAACGTTTAAACACCCAATGTTTTTTTTTTTCTTTTTGTAAAATGTGTAGTACATCGTTTAAACACCCAAGCATTCATAAATGGTCTGTGTACCAGACAATAGGGTGTCTTATACTCTGTTTCATACTTAGCGTGCAACGCTGTCAAATGTACTAAAGTGGTGCGCATGAAAAAATAGAAAAAGTGTTACTCCGCGGGTTTCGTGGACGAGTGGTAGAAGGCGCTGCTCTGGTGATATTGACGTCTCGGTGGCCGTGGTTCGAACCCATTTTACGCGCAAAGTTTTTTTTTTTTTTTTTTTTTTTTTTTAGACATACTTTTCGTGCAAGATTGTGCGCATTGGCGAAGTGCATATTTCAGTTCCTCCTTCTTGATTTTTATTTATAAGTCGCCGAGAGGCCAGATTTCTACCATCTGGTCTGCCGCTTTGCTAGTGTTATTTGCCTCCAGCACCGACTTATATTTTTGTTTCGTGCAGCGTGGAATGAGGATTCGCCCTGATAGCGGCCTTGTCCCAAAATTTATAATAAAACGTTAATCGACAATAGTTGTGGCCTGTACAGTTTATTTTGAAATAGCTGTCAAGGGTAGGAATCTCCCTCTCGGAGCACTTGCGATGCACCTTCAGGCGAATGGCGTTCTGTGTGAACTCGTCATGCTTGACGGTCCCCGTGCTCGAAACTTTCACGTTGCGAGGTCTTTGCTTTGGGGACGCCACCTTGCCAGATGGGCACTGCGCCTTGCACTTCGCGACAGTACAGGGCACACTCCAGTGTCGTTACTGGCCGTCTCCAGGACTTCACGACCGAATTCTCCGGGGAATGTGTTCTTATACTCCCGTACACATTGGCGATCATCTGCTTGCACTCTTTCAAGATTTTCGCACAACGAATCTTCGAAAACATCCGAGCAGGAGAGGTACTTGAGCTTGCTGCGTAAGACGCCATCTTCTCAAAACCAGCCAGTGCCACACAACCCGAAAACCCACAGCGGCTGCCACACGGATGAACACGAAAACAATTTGAGGTGGTTTACATTATCTTTTCCTTTTTCTTGAAAAACATTTGTGCTCCGTTGAAATCATAACGCCAATATCAGTTACTAGCCCCGAGGAGGCACATTTTCCGACTTTTTAAAATTTTTTTGCAGGGGACGCACTACCTTATGGGGCGAACGGAGGCACGGTCAGCAATGCGAACCGGTGCGCTGGCTTTGACTGCGTTGCACTCTATGTATGAAACAGAGTATAGGATCGCTTCAGACGGGGCAACCTTTCCAGGAATTTTGGGGCTGCTGGCGGGTTGTTCCCTAGTTTTCCCTAGATCGATACGAATTGCTGAGATTGGGTCTGGCTCGAAGCGGACGAGCAGCTCTGACTACCT